TATACTCTTGTGCTTATCAAATTTCTCTCACTTTATATTTCTAATTTGATTTGACCTGATAACAGTGTTTTGACCCAAATAGTCTCTCTCTGTCAGTCATAAACTCACATCAAATCAAGGCAGAGACCAAAAGGTTCAATGTTTTTCAACTTTGCTGAAGTGCTGTGAAGTATACCTCTAAATGTGTAATCCCTTCAATAAAAGTGCCTTTTTATTTTGCACTTTCTAAATCCCACTCTAGGACGAAAAGGCCCTGAAAAATGTCTAAAGAGATAAATGAAAAGGGGGCAGGTCAGAATGCAGGTCAGGTAAAAGGTTCCTTGAAAGAGCGAGAGAAGAAAAGATGGAGCGCGGTCCTCTTCCTTTCTCCTCTGCACCCTTTGACCACGCTCACTTTAATCACTTCATTCAAGAGGAGAGAGGGAGTGAATGAAACTAAGAGCATTAAATGCACAATGATCCCTAACACACACACACATCTGAAACACTTTGGGTTAGCAGACTATAACATGCTTTATGTAAATACTTTTTTTGCCCCAATAAACTGCCAATCCACACAGAAACTGGCTAAGGTGGCTAATTATGCCCCAAAATGCAGTTTTATACCATAGATATTGCAAATATTTTGTACATTAATTTACTATGGTTATCAAATACAAATTATTAATAATATTTTTAAAATACAATAAGTGTGTCAAATTAAAGTAGAATCCCTGCTGCACCATACCAGTCATTCAAACATGATCGCAAAAAAGTTATAGCCAAAACAAAACGTAAAATGATACCTTAGAAGCTCAAAATTGTTTTTTTTTTTCCGTAAAGCCCTTATATTTTCACGCAGACACGAACAACACTTTCGCACGGAGGAGGCTGGTCTAGGTGGTCATGTAGGAAAGTGACATATCATTTCTACTTGGTTAAACTGATGTTCTCCTACTCATTTGCAATCCTCCCTACAAGAAATGAATGCAACAGCGCCCGACACAGACCGAGCCTAACTGTTTGCGCACTTCAGAACGGCTGCTATTTTAGTTTATTGATGGGAAACAACAACTCTTAATACCAAATGAACAACAGTATCAAATAATTTCATTCATTTCATACTGGGTATTTACCTATCTAAACGTTCTTCTCTAAACGTTTAATAGCCACCAAACATTTACAAAAGAATCCTCAAAAAACACGTTGTTCGTTTTAAAATATGTTATCATTGTAGATAGCGTGAGAGAAAAATCCATCTAAGCAATTTCTTTCATTTTATAACTTTTCAAGAAGTTTAGCGGAATACAATAGAAAGTCTACTTACTGGTCACATAACAACTGTTGCTGTGAAAAGAGCAGATTTAACTCACTTGTTTTCTGTGTTGAAAGTTTCCACACTGAACGGTCTTGCTAAAGTTTCGTGTGTGAACTCTTCTCCAGCATCCGCCTTTATATGTGTCTCTCTTTCTCTTTGTTTGCCCCCCAGACTAATTTAATCGGGTTCTTTCTCCCGAACCCTATTTAAATTAACCCCACCGTGTCGTCACAGCCCACGTCAGCATCAGCCAATAGACCTCATGGCACAGCCACGAGACCTGTAAGTCAACCTAGAAAATGTTTATAATAAATAATAATTTAATCTACATGTGCATAATAATTATAAGAAGAATAATAAAAGATATCAAGCAAAAGTGAAAACAAGACCCTCCACAATAACAGAGATGGCTGTTCACACACTATTAGAAAAAAAGGGTTCATTGGGGTTCTTTACTCAAAAGGTTCTATAATGACAAGAAAGAACCCTTTTGACACAAAGGTTGTTATTAATTCATATATTACATTATTCTGCAACATTTTGTAGTTGTAATTAAATTATTGTTTATTAAACTGTTGTAGTAACTTAATATCACATTTCTGAAATGGCACTCGTCATGTGATATTGATTAACTACATAAAATTATATAAATATAAATTTTATAACCCCCATATCTTGAACTTTGTGATCATACACATGCATTCATAAATAGATTTTAGGGCCTTGATGTTTGTCAATAATATGAAATATTTAATCCGGAAAGGACAAAACAAATGATAATGAATGAACCCAAAAGGTTCCATAGAACCTTTTTCCTGGTTACAAAGAACCCTAAAGGGATCTTATTGAACCCTTAAAAAGAGATCTGAACCTTTTAGGGGTTCCAAATATGCAGCGCTGATAGAACCTTTTCTTCTAAGAGTGAAAAGACTGAAAAGTTAACTCCAACACATTAAATAAGACTAAATCAAATGATCACAGTCTTCTTTGTGGCAAACACACAAACACACACAAAATTCTGCAGAAAACAGAAAAAGCAAATATGAATGCATTGTTCCCCTTAACAGAAAAATTTAAAATGAAAGAATATCATGATCATGATCAATGCTGAACTGACCAGTTCTGACTTATAAGTTATATCAAGCTAACATGTCTAAGTGCATAGACCTGGCTATAAGAACAGCACCTGTGCTGTGTAAATCTAACTATATACAGTTTACAAACAAATACCATCTGAATTTTGCAAACCAGCTGTAATGTAAAATTGAATGCATCAAAAAACTCTGCCAGGAAGTCCAAACTTAGCTGGAATTTTTTCAGAGTCTTACTATTTACTTACTCTGATTAAACAGGACAATGTTTAAATCTGTGAAATACTTGCGTATTATGAACATATAACATCCTGATTTCCAAATAACAGCTAGCTTCAACAAAATATCTAGTTGAATCAGGCCTATCTGTTATTTATTTGCATTTACAGCAAGCAACATAACTGTTTAACTGCAAATGATTAAAATGTTTTAAGAGGTTATATTCTCTCTTCTTTTTTTGCTTGCTATGTGATTTTATGTGGGTGTGTTAGTCTGTGAATGTGTGTCTGTAGACGCCCGAGGACAGGAAACAGCAGCTCAATAGGACAAATGGTGCAGTCAGATAAACAATCTCTCTGCAGGCTGAGACAGGCAAGAACAGAACACATACAATGACCTGAGCCAACCATTCTCATAGATCGCGTTCACATAAAACCCACTCTCAATAAACAAACACACACTTGTCGCACAATCAAGCATCTTTACAGCAGCACACACACGGCATCTATAATAACGACTGAAAAAGTGTCCGCAGAGCATCAGATACGACTTTTGTTGAAGACAGAATGAAAGGGAGAAGTTATTTTATTTTTTCTGTAGCTTTATTTCAGTAAGAGAACAACATCTTCTGAATGCCATGCCTTAAAAAAGACTGTAGACATCATGCATTACATGTAAATGTAAGATTGCACTGATTTGATCACAAATATTTGGAAAAGTAATGTAAGCATTTAAATGCTTACCTAATAAGAATATATATGTAGGCTATATACAGTATATATATACAGTATATATATATATATATATATATTATATATATATATATATATATATATATATATATATATATTTAAAAAAAAAATATATATATATATATATATATATATATATATATATATATTTTTTTTTTTTTTTTTTTTTTTTTCAAAACCAGGAATCAGTTAGTAGCTGATTTGAACAAATCTAAAAAATGCTGGGTTATTTAATCAACCCAACCCCTGGGTTATGAAATGTTTGACCCATTATGGGTTATTTATATGGATTTTGACTCAACACATGAGTTGGAAAAAATAACCCATCTACCCAACATACACCGTTGACCCAGCACGTGGGTTGTTTGTGCTTCTAACGTCATCACATCATCACAAGAAGAGTCCACCATACCGGATCCACCACACACCGAGCGATCTTCAAAGAGAACTTCACTTTTCATCGAGCGAGGGAAATAAGGTAGAGTACTCTACATGTCATTTCTAATATATAAGACATATATTTTAACAACTAAGTTATAAGCTGGGTTGGTCGGAAGAGGGTGAGGCAAAGATGACACGTATTGATGCAATGGCCGTGAAGTGTTTATTTATAGAAATTGCGGTAAACGGTCTAACGTTAACTTAGTGTCCGGAATACAGTGAGTCTACTTTAACGTTACCTTTCTAAAGTAATATCTTTATATTGTCGAGGCTAGTTGGTTGGTTTGTCTGGCTTGTTTGGCTAGCGTTAGCCATTATCATAGAAGCACTGGCTATTTTGAGCGCGCTAATTTTTCCCTGGAGCATTTAATGTGAACACATTAACCTGATATGCCAGACTAAATGCATGTATGTGCATTTATTTAAGTAATATGGTAACCCGCGATAGATAAGAAAACATTTCTTATATAAAATGGCGGCCTGGCTAGCAGGCTAACTAACATTATTTTAAGTTAGCACTAACTGGATATAAATGAGCGCGCTTTTTGCCCTCAAATCTTTTAATGTGAAATGCGAAGGTATAACACAGTGTAAGACTTATTAAAGTATGTAAAAACAGTGAGATAACCTGATATGCCAGACTAAATGCATGCATGTGCATTTATTTAAGTAATATGGTGACCCGCGATAGATAACACAGTGTTAGACTTATTAAAGTATGTAAAAACATTGAAGTAACATAAAATGTCTGAATGTAAAATACATGTAATTTGAATTGTATAGGGAGAGAGGGTCTCTCTATTTTGGCTGTTATCTTCACATTGGATTACATTCTGCTGCTAGTCTGCATTGCATTTGCATGGTGACATCTGAATAGTTAATACAATAGAAATTGTATATTTCCTTAACCTCATTTTGTGTTTGTTTCAGATCAATGGTCAGCTTTGTCATTGACACAACAGAGTGGCAGCTGACAGACCTTGTTGAAAGATTTCAAGGTAAGAAATATTTGTTTTCACATCCACAGCATATCAAGTCTGCATTGCTACTCAAGCCCTTTTCAGACATTAATTCTTATGAAATATAATATTCTCTTTTTTTTTCAATAGCTTCCATGTAATGTGTCAAAGTGACTCCAATAGATTAATAGGGCACATGTCTTTTGTAGACTTTCAGTGATTTATTCTATTTTGTAATAACAAATGATGGAATATGCATGTTTATCTTCCATTTAATTACCTATATATTTTAGTTTTGTACTCCTCAGTTGTAAAAACAGAGTTCTTTGTGTTTTGTATTTTTTTGTCTTTTAGAGGAGGGGACTGATGAGGAGAGTTTTCTTCTTTTAGAAGAGGCTACCATCAACAGTTGATCCCAAGAGCTGGCCCTGGGCTGAAGTTCTTCAAAAAATTAGAGGACTTGTAAGATCAACATTAGAGGCACACAGTTATTATTTCTAAATATTAAAAGGAATAGTTTACTTTGAAATTAATTTTCGATATGTTTTAGCTTACCTCAAGGGCATCCAAGATGTAGGTGTCTTTGTTTCCACAGTATTTTCAATTTTGTTTTGTTTTTTCGTTAAACCGTTGTTGTCTATCAGTCATACACTGGAGGTTTAGGGGGTCCTCCCTCGGTTCACCTCAAAGAGCATGCACAGGGAAGTCAAAATTAAACATGATTTAATGACTCGTAAATGTAAGTACACATCGATGGCCTAAGACAATAAACGAGCGGTTTGTGTGAAAAAACGAACAGTATTTATATAGTTTTTTACCTCGTGTAACTCAGCCATTGGCAACTGATCTGACAGCAGAGGCGTTTCAGTCTGTGTATGCGCCGGAAGTGATCACTTGCGTCTGTACGTCACTCATTGTTTACACAGAGTTTTGGAAGTTTTACCTTTCACTGTGAAGATCTAAACATATTTATATATACAGGAAATCGCAATGGAAGAAGATTTCGATATATCTAAATGTTTAGTGAAAGGTTAAATTCCTGAAATCTCTCTGTAAACAATGAGTGATGTATACGCGCAAGCGATCACTTCTGGCGCATGCACAGACTGAAGCGCCCCTGCCGTCAGATCAGTTGCCAATGGCTGAGTTACACGAGGTAAAAACGATATAAATACTGTTCGTTTTCTCACACAAACCGCTCGTTTCGTGCCTTAGGCCTTCACTGTGTACTTACATTTACGAGTCATTCAATCATGTTTAATTTGGACTTCTCTGTGCATGCTCTTTGACATGAACCGGGGGAGGACCCCCTAAACCTCCATTATATGACTGATTGACAACAATCGTTTGACCGAAAGATATCAAAATTGAAAATACTGTGGAAACAAAGACACCTACATCTTGGATGCCCTTGAGGTAAAATAAAACATCAAAAATTAAATTCAAAGTGAACTATCCCTTTAATAGTTTCTTTGGGATGATACCAGAATACTTGCTTGCAAGTAGAGCTAATGGCTCCCGTTGACTGTTGGCCTGTTAAATGTTCAGCCAGTTCATTCATAATTGAATGTTTTCCTACTTCAGTGATATTAACTGCAGTTCCACTAATATTGTTGATATTAAAGTAATAAAATAATTTTTCAAAGATTCCATTGTTGTTTTGTTTTTGTATTGTTTAAGTGTTTATTGCATAATCTATGCATACATCTAGCATGTATTCTGTTCTAGGTTTGTAGTGTAACAGTTTTATAGCTATGAGTAGTCTATTGCCTTTTTTTTCTGTACTGTAATGTGCTAGAATTAGTCTGGCATATGGGTTAATTTGACCCAGCATTTGGGTACACTATATAACAAATATGTAGTTGAATCAACCCAGAATTGTAATTAATTTGACCCAGCATTTGGGTACGCTATATAACAAATTTGTAGTTAAATCAACCCAGAATTTTATTTCATTTGACCCAGCATTTGAGTAGAAATGAACAACTCATCTGTTGGGTTAAAAATGACCGACCCATCTTGCTGGGTCAAATTAACTGCTGCTGGGCTGGTGCAATATTGATCCAGCAGTTGGGTTACCAAGTTGGGTTATTTTTAACCCATCATTTTTTAGAGTGAAGCTTTTGAGTGGAAAGTTATGTTCGTTTGACACATTCACTCCAAGATGACTAAGTAGACCACAGGGAAAATGGGGGTGATGGAGGAAATCAAAGTGGGGTGAGGGACAAAGAGAAACAAAGAGTGAGTTGAGAGGTTGGGAGGTTTACACAGTCTACATATTTTGTAGCAAACTGAAAAGGCAAGACCTCCTCCCTACTCTCCACAGTGAAACCTCTGTCTCCCAACAGAGGACCAGATGGAACAATCACTGTTTGAATAAAAGAGAGTTCACAGCCACCACAATGATCAACAACACTCCCAACACTCCTTCTCTCCCCGCTCTATGTCTCTTTAGATCCACGGGAAGTCATGGGAAAGCTTGCCAAATGGGCAAAGGGTGAAGCATGTGAGAGTTTGTCCATGAAAAGGTTAAAGAGTTGAAGATGAAGTCTGTGCTTTTTAAAACAGAAGTTTATCCAGCATTCACATTATCATTATTCTAAAGACAGAGGTCACTCAGAGCATGACCAGAAGAATGGACTCTACACTTCCTCTCACATACACATCCTGCTACTGTTTTTCTTATTGCAAAAACATAAATATGTAATGAAAGACGGTAACACTTTAAAATAATGGTCCGTAGTTAACAATTAGCTATGCAGGAAGTAATAGGTAGTACTGCATTAACACCGAAGTTAATACTATATTAACTAATATGGAATCAATATTAACTAAGCATTAAGTAATAGGTAATTTAGTACAAAGGTAGTTTCTTGGTAGGTATTTGATTATTACTAAAGAAATATATCCTCATTGAGAACTACTTGTGAACTAAGAAATAATAACCAATTAATTACTAATCACAAAAGTATCATGTCTAAAAAGTGAACAATTGTGTTTTACTCTTAACATGGTCAACATTTCAGAAGCATTTGCCTCAAATGGGTTCTTTGTGGAAACCAGTTTATGAAGTTTATATATCCCCCCAAATACATTAGCTAGATAGCAGACTGACATTGAATCAACGTGGAAATATGACATCGAAACAACGTTGATCTGACATTGTTTTGCTCATCGAATTAACGTTGAACCAACGTCAGACGCGTCATTCTTTCAAAACTAACGGAAAATCAACTTGAAATCAACGCGTTGTTTCAACGTTATGAAAGCAAACCAATTTTCGATTTCATTTAGCTTTGAAGAATGCCGCGTCTGACGTTGGTTCAACGTTAATTCGATGAGCAAATCAACGTTGTTTCAATGTCATGAGAGACGTCGTTTCCACGTTGATTCAATGTCAGTTTGCTATCTAGGTTGAGATTGTGACCACTATTGCCAGGATGGACGCATGTTCTCTGTTTATTTAAAACTTAAACATAAAATAATAGGCCTACTAATGACAGTTTTTAAAAATAAACCTTAAAAAATTAGGAAGTGATGCTGACACTCTCATGATTGGATTAGTTCACTATTATGAGCTCTATTGAATGTCATATATATCTCAGACTCCAAAGACCTACTGTTAGCAATTGATGTAATTTTTACAGGAAATTTTACAACAATGTATTGTATTTGTGTTTTACCTGTAAAAAGCAATGCACCATGGGAAATTAATGGACAGTCCTGTATTATTATTGTAATTTCACTGTATTCACGGAGTTTTACAATGGTTTTACAGCCACCTCGTTGCATCATGGGATCTTCGCGGTCTGAATTTTGAATTTTTAGGCGGTTAGTTCTAAACGTACATTCTGGGAGTAAGCCGTCATTCAATAAGACGGAAAAGAAGCAATTCTGGGACGAAGGTAAGTTATCTTCACGTTATGTAATTTACTGTTACCGTTACACATGTATTTTTATAGCGTAAATAAAACGTTATTAGTTCTCGTTATCTGAGTGGATGGACGGTTTCGTCTGCTTTGATTAGATAACATTTATTCTTCCATCAGTCCATTGAAATCGGGTACGTAACGTTACTGGTAATTGCTAACATTTGCAACCTTGTTCTTCACAAATTGATGCTATTTTAATCTGCCTGAAGTAACGTTAACGTCAATATGGATCTTTCACTGTTTGGATGGATTGTCTAGCTAGCTCGAATCTCATTTAGGGCTGTCAAAGAATATTCTAAATTCGAATATTCAAAAAGTTTTAAAAACTGAAAATGAATATTCAAATGGGGAAAAACACCCCCGCGGTAGCGCGGCTGTCTGCTTTCCGACTGGGCGCGGCGCGCTGTTGCCATAACTTAGTTATTGCATGATAGGTTTGATTAAGTTAGTTACAACAGTTTCATGCACTGCAGGCTTCCACTGGTTTGGTTATTTACTGTTTCATGCCAAGAAAAAGTTACAAGCTCGCTCGGAGCGTTCAATATCGTAGGTAGCGACAATAGCGAGGTCTGCTCTGTGGTCTGTTGATTTACTTATTTTTGTGGTAATATGTTGTCAAATAGGTTTGCTTTGAACTTAAATAAACTACCTATACAAGTAGTTATGGCTCTTTGTATGTATTTGTCCTGTTATTGACGTAAAGCGCGTCATGGGCCTGTTCTCGCATTTTGTGAGCTGACCGAATTCCTATCCAGGAGAAGCTGCCAGATGCCGTAGACAACAGGAGTCAGAACATCATAGTACTTCCAACAGCAGAAGACACCAGGAGTGGGGAAGGTTCTGGATGCTTATGTCTGATGTGAGTACAACTTGCAGTGCATACAAATAAATTAACCATTCCCTCACTCCCATCTCTGTCCTGTTATTTTGTAATTGTTAAAGGGATATTTCACTTTAAAATTAATTTTTGATATGTTTTAGCTTACCTCAAGGGCATCCGAGATGTAGGTGTCTTTGTTTCCACAGTAGTTTAAATTTTAACATTTTTCGGTCAAACCGTTGTTGTCTATCAGTCATATAATACAGCCATGTCCAACTGAACTGAACTGAACCGTGTCCAACGTCCCGCCAGAAGTGATCGTTTGCGTGTGTATGTCACTCATTGTTTACACAGAGATTTCAGGAGTTTTACCTTTCACTAAACATATTTAGATATATCAAAATCGTCTTCCATTGCGATTTTCTGTACATCTAAATATGTTTAGATCTTCACAGTGAAAGGTAAAACTTCCGAAATCTCTGTGTAAACAATGAGTGACGTACACACGAAAGCAATCACTTCCGGCGGGACGTTGGACACGGTTCAGTTCGGTTCAGTTGGACATGGCTGTGGCTACACGAGGTAAAAACGATATAAATACTGTTTGTTTTCTCTCACAAACCGCTCATTTCGTGTCTTAGGCCATCAATGTGTACTTACATTTACGAGTCATTAAATCATGTTTAA